AATCTCCAATCTGAACCTCCCCTGGTGCAACTTGAGGTCGTTTCCTCTTGTCCCATGGCCTGTTCCTTGGGAGCAGAGACCGACCCCCCCTGGCTACACCCTCCTTTCAGGGAGTTGGAGAGAGCGAGAAGGTCTCCCCCCAGCCTCCTTTTCTCCAGGCTGAACACCCCCAGCTCCCTCAGCCTCTCCTCACAAGACTTGTGCTCCAGACCCCTCACCAGCTCCGTTGCCTTTCTTAGGAAAAGTCTGAAGCTGAAAACCATGTCCAAGAAAAGGAAAACCAGAAATCAGCCTCACATTGAGCTTCAATAATGATTCTTGTTTCAGAGGCAAACTGTAAACCAACTGTAAACCCTGAACAAGCCCTGATTCATTAAGCACGAGGATGACAACAGTCTCCTTTTTCTCTTCACCATGGCCAAAGTTTACATATTTCTCCTCCTCTCCAACCGCTCTGGATGTCTTTAGCACAGGTTTGCTAAATTTTATCTTGACTTGTTGACCAACAAAGCTGCAACTGCAAAACCTCCCTATGGAGGAAGCTCACACCAGAAGAAAGTCACTTTGAAAGCTGGACGCGTGACAGAAAATTAAGCATGTTTTCCTCAGCGTAATTACATACACAGTGAAGTTGCTGCCTGTTGACCAACAAAGCCGCAACTGCAAAACCTCCCTACGGAGGAAGCTCACAATGGAAGAAAGTCACTTTGAAAGCTGGACGCGTGACAGAAAATTAAGCGTAATTACATACACAGTGAAGTTGCTGCTGGTACAGAAAACACACCCTAAAGCTGTCGCGCTCTTAAGGTTTTGTGGTGGAAACTCAGGCCAAGGATTGTATTGCTGAGAAAAGGGAGCTATTAACCAATTCTGTGTGTTACTAATGAGCTATCAACCGATTCTGCTGCTGCCACAGAAGGTGATGGCAACGAGGAGATGATCTGGTGATTCCTATCTCCAGAAGGAAGTTACATCAGTTGCCTAAATAAATATAAAGATCCTATTTCAGCACATTTAATGTATTTCACTACATCTTACCCTGTGTAAAATGTAGTCACGTAGCAGCACCAGGAGGGCTAAACAAACCCTAGCCAAAAACCCTAGCCCTCAACCCAAAACTCACCTTATACCAGATGTAGCTTTCAGATGAGCATCAAGGTTACCTGTGGCGAGAGAAGGAAATCAGCCTGTGCTGCATTTAAATTTAATCTCACCTTACCTGCATTGGCATGATGGGGCGTGTGTATATATATATATATAAAAAAAATATATATATAAACTTCCCAAAAATTCCTCTTAGAGCCCATAAAATCAACAGGCAGATTTTCTCCAACTCCCTGATTTTTTACTTAGATGCTTTCCCCACTTGTAAACGATAAAACAAAGTCTGAATATTTTCCTGCCAGGAGAATGAGGACTGGTTAAGCATTTACACACAGCTTTGAAGGGGAAGATCCCTTGCTGTGAACAGGACGCAGCGCTCTGTTTCCTGTCATCAGCTCCAGGAGAAGCACCAAAGCAACGCTCACGAGATGTTCAGCAGAAGGTTCTACACCAATATTAATAATACCTGAAACGATCTATCCATTTAGGTTTTCACAGAATCACAGAATCTTCTAGGTTGGAAGGGACCTTAAAGATCATCTTGTCCAACTGTCAACCCAACTGACAAAAATAGACACCCACACAACAAACAAGAAGCATCACCATCACTAAACCATACCTCCCAGCACTACATCAACCTGTCTTTTGAACACCTCCAGGGATGGTGCTTCAACCACCTCCCTGGGCAGCCCATTCCAATGGCTGATAACCCTTTCAGTGAAAAAATTTTTCCTAATATCCAGCCTGAGATTAATTTAATTTAAAAAAATATATATAATCCAATGGTTCGTTAATTATATTTAGCAAGCAAAAACGGCAAAAAAGTTTGCTGTGCACCAGTTAATCCCACCCTCCTTCCAGTGGAGGCAGCTTCTCCCCTTCATTTCATGACTCACCCCCTCTGCTTATAATCTGGTTCTCCAAGAATTTTAGTTCTCTGGGACAGGATGCAAGTAAGAGAGAAGTAGCAGGAACACTCCCAAAATGACACTGTGGAAAAAACTTAGGGTTATTTCAGTTTTTTTAGTCTCAGCATCGAGATGCCCAAATGGGATGGATACTGTAAATCCGCTTTAGCCGTCTCTAAAGTCAATTAGTTAATTTTGCAATGAGAACTGGAACTTAGTAGCAGGACGGACGGTTCGTGGCATTTCTCTGGGACAGGATGCAAGTAAGAGAGAAGTAGCAGGAACACTCCCAAAATGACACTGTGGAAAAAACTTAGGGTTATTTCAATTTTTTTAGTCTCAGCATCAAGATGCCCAAATGGGATGGATACTGTAAGTCCGTTTTAGCCATCTCTAAAGTCAATTAGTTAATTTTGCAATGAGAACTGGAACTTAGTAGCAGGACGGACGGTTCGTGGCACTCGGTGGGTTGCCATACGCCGCGGGACACATCTTTTGAAGGAGATTCTTAATCAACTTAAAAGACAATATGGCAACTGGCAGCCTTTTTCTTTATTGAAGCAAAGTCACAGCATTTTCATCACTATTCCCCTCTCCTGACGGGAAGAGTTAAAACAAAGGCCCCTGAAATTTACATTACTAACAAGGAAAGGATTGAAGAAAGAGATTACAAGCATATTTCTCTAAAATAAATAATCTACAAAGAGTGCTTTTCCTTCTTAAAAGCAATCTAAAAATGTATAAATTCTAAGGTAGGGAGATCAAAAGATATTTTAACAACTTTCAATATTTACAAACAATACAAAAAACTGCGCACGCCATCAAAAGATGCAAAATTCTTCTTAAAAATGAAAAGCTTCATTCCTACTAAGAACCAAGAACTCCAGCCAATATTTAAGTTTTAATTAATGGTCTTCTTTACAATTGGAAAACCGTTAAATGTTTTTTATTATCTGTAAAATATACAATAAAAACCAACCTCGCTAAATTATTAAGGTTAAAAAAAAAAAAAAAAAGAAGAGAAATACTGCAGGCAAATCAAAAAGGAAAAGTAACTTATTCTTTGGTAACCAAAAGTTAGCAAGTATCTGTATTTCAAGTGATGGAAAAGTAATCATCTTCCCATTTTGACAAACGGGGAGAAAGATTCCTGGCAAAACACAACTCCCGGGTTTCAATATTGAAAAGACAAGCTCCACCTACAGCTCCCTAGTGCAAGTTCTTCTCAAAGTCCAAAAAAAAACGTGGCTTTCTAACCCAGAAACGTTTTTTTAACCCTTCCCACAACTCGGGCAAGCTCGCTGCTCAGTTCCTCTCCTGCTTCTCTCTCGCATCCTCCCCGCACACATCCAGCCGCTCCGCTTCTCTGAGAGAATTGCTTTTTTTGAGTCCAGGGAGCCTGTTTATTTGGAAACGAGGACTTCCCTGGGCGTGTGGCTGCACAGCAGCTAGTCCTGCGGTATCAAACTCAGCTCCCCTTCCCACCTTAATTACCCATTTCATTTTCCCTCAGGAAAAAAAAAACAAAAAATAAAATTAATCATATAAAGAAAAAGCACCCTGGACCAATTCATAACCTGGCGACCTAATTGCTTCAGCAGGACGCACTTCTTCTGCCACTGGGGCGTGCTCCAGTAATTAATAAAGCCATGTCACCCCCAGTAATGAGCCATGTCACCCCAACACCAACCCTACCACCTTCTCGTAGGTGAACGCACCCCCATCCTGCCTCTCTCTGCTTCACCACCCACCTCCCTACCCTGCACCGTTCACTCCAACGCTTTGGGAAGCAAACGTCCAGCTTGTACCACGGGAGCCTTCCCCTTCCTCTTTTTTTTTTTAATTTTTTTCTTCTTTTTTTTCAGGCTTATTCCTCATTTTTTGCCTGCACGATTGCAGTCTCAAGAAAACAGAAAAACTTCACACCCCTAACAGGCTCTGAGAAAACTCCCCCCCTCCCCCAAGAGGACTTCTAAGGCTTTACACCAAAAAAAAAATAAAAATAAAAGCAAGTGTTAACTTTCTTGAAGCCGCAGACCGCTCATTCCAAGGCAGTCCTGTCCTCCCCTCCCACCCCACCCCTGCAGGACTAGCCTTGCTCTGGCATTTAACCACGCACATGCAGTTCATGGAATAAATGCTCAGCAAAGTCAACTTGTCCTGGTCTGGGCTTTCTTCTGGAATCTAGTCCTCTGTCATTTTCCAGACTTTAATATCCAACGCCTTTTGTCACCCCCTTTTTAACTTTCTTCCGCTGAAGGGCTTAGATACTTCCTTGAAGCACCCGGTTGAGTCATTAAGTCTAGGTGGGTTGGATCCAAGGTCTCCTTGCAGCCTGCCTCCTCGGCGTACGGAAAGTCACTCATGTCCATCTCCTCACTGGTAAACACATCCAGCTGCCTCTCCTGATGCTCTTCCGAAGTCCTTCGGCCCCTGCCCTCCGACTGCTCCACCGCTTCCCCGTCTCCTTCGCTAATGACGGTCATGGGGCTGCTCTGGATGCGGTTGCGGACGTTGTACTTGCTGCTGGCCGCCGAGGGAGGGGTTCGCGACCGTCCGTACCTGGTTCCAGAGAAGGACATGCTCCTTGGCATCAAGCCCTCGCTCTTGGCCCACTCTTCCTGGGCCCGTTTGTTCTTGCTGGGCGAGCAGGTGGTGGGGCTGTCGGAAAGGTCCGGAGAAGCCTCCGCCTTCGGTCGGTGGAACCGCGGGTCCGTGTTCTTCAACATCTCGGCGGCGGACATGCGGGAGCTGGTGTCACAACGGCTCCCTTTCTTCAGCAGAAGGGCTTTGAAGTTGTCGTTGCTGGTGCTGCTCTTGCGGACGCTCCTCTGGATGGACCCGGCTTGTCGGAGGGTGGCCAAAGTGGGGGAAGCACCGGTGGGAGTTACGGGGGGCGACGGAGAATGGTTGCGGGTACGCTCGTCTTCCGAGTCTTTACGGCCAAGGACTTTCCTTTTGGATCTGAGTTTGAAAAACAACAAAAAAAAAAAAAAAAAGAGGAGCAGACAAAAAATGAAACTTTTTACCTCCCCTAATTAATCTCGGCTTCGAGGGATGACAATGGATGAAGCTAAAGCAGAGAGAGGGAGAAGGGAGAAGGAAGCTAAATCTAAAGCGAAAGGAAAGACACCACCAAAACTGTACAGGCATTAGCGCAGGTATTGGAGGGATAAGCTAAATTTATAGTTCTTTTTCTGCAAATCTGGAACAATGAAACTACTAAAACCGACAATATTTATGGCCAAAACACTTTAGCGAATTTAGTGAATCAGGCTTTCTGGAGTCGGTATTCAACTGCTAAGGCTAATGCAGTGTTTTAATGATTAAACTCAATGCCATTTGTGGGTTAGTTTGGGGATTTGATTAAAAATGTCATCTGGAGTATGTTGGTTTGTTTTACTATTTCATTGGATGCTCTCTGGAGAATTAGAAGTGCCCTTTAGGAAAGGATATTGCGATGCGCTGCTGCTGAGGTTAAGATAAAGTAAAGTGAGCCACATGGAACCATTCTGGATGAAATGATTGGGAAAAAAAAAGTCAACCCCCCCCCCCAATTAAATGAATAGTGAAAAATGAGTTTTCCAGCTTTTACTAAGATGCAGAGACAAAATTCACAGTCCTGCTGGTGCTCTGTCATTGCAACTCTTCAACTAAATGAAGGAGAGACCAACCTCCTGATACTAAAGGGCAGAGTGTTTTTTAATTTCCATGTAAAGTGCAGGGATAACAAAAACAAAATGAAAAAACAAGAACGGAACTGGGAATAAGTAGAAACTGCCCCATTTTCACGATATTAGAAAACTTAGAGAAAAGGAAGTATTACATGCCCTGTATCTGTAGCAAAGTTGATTTGCTTCTTTGACAGAATTAATTTAAGAAGATTGTTTAAAGGCTAATTTTACATATGCCAAAGTTTAAAACAAGTCAGCAGACTTGTTCCAAATACAAGATTATCATGCTATAATTCTGTCTTAATTTTTATCAAGCGTGTGCTCAATACAGACTGTTCCCCTAATAAAATTCTACTTAACATGATCTTTAGCTCTACTTCGTTAAAGGCCTTGAGGCTTTGCCAAGGACAGCTCAAATGTCTTTATGCTTTGCAGCCTACTGATAATTAAGAAAACAAAAACAAACAAAAAACAAAGTAGAGAACCCATCAGCTGAGCAGCTGGCAGCAGCAGATAGGGCCATGAGCTCTGCCAGGAATTTTGGGGGATCCTGTCTCTGAAGTGGTGAAGTTTATGGATATATCCCTTGTGATACCCACCCCGAGGCAGCTCGAACAGCTGGGATTTCCAGCTGCTGCCTCCACCTGCCTTTCTGGAAGGAGAATGGAATAGTGACATCCAGCCTGAGCATGAAGGGACACCAGGAGATAGCAGAGGGATGAAGTGACAACTTTAGCAGTGGCAAACATCAGGATCTTGTCTGGATTTAACTGTGTAAAAGCACCACAGTTAATCTGGTGGTGCAAATCTGGTGCTCGGGTGCTCTGGGAGTCTCTACGCAAACGGGTGTGTGCACTTGTTACAGGGGAAAGATCTCCCTTCATTAGGGTTCTGGCTGCCTATAGGTGTCTTTAAACACTGAGGTGCTGGGCTCCTACTGCTGCCAAAACCCAAATGAACTTCCCAACAAACACAAAGTAAAAATCAATTGCAAAGATCTGCAGGGAAAGAGTTCGTTAGCCTGGCTGGAATTAATTGGGTAAAACTGGGAATGCAGCGCGGAGCGGTCCGTTTGCTGTCAGCGCGTAACCAGCTCTTCTCAGCATGTATGAATTATGGCAGAAACTTAAAATTTAAGAACCGAATTTGGTTTTGGTGGCTTTTCAGACAGAGATAGGGTATATATTCAAACAAAAACTGTGACTTAAACTTGGATTGTTCTTCCTGCCCTTAACGCACAAAATTTCTTGTCTTACTCCAAAGCACATGTTCAAGAGAGCCAATCACTGAAATAATACCTTACCACTAAATTTCTTGTCTTACTCCAAAGCACATATTCAAGAGAGCCAATCACTGAAATAATACCTTTTAGAAATAGTTGGGGGGGAAACCAAAACATTTTTTATTAATTAACAACCAAGGGAGATAGCGGTTCGAGTCTAAAGCCAGCAAAAGCAAGGTCTTAAAAACAAATGGTTTCTTAAAAACAAGCGGTTTCAACTATGTCACATCCAGTTCCATTGTCCATTTCCCCATAAAGTCAGGAATGACACGTATGTGCACACACACAGGGATCCACTCTCTATCTGCATCCGGGATGATGGAGAACGACCACTGGCCACACTATTTCATTCTAAACCCAGCTCTCTTTTAGAAATAGTTGGGGGGGAAACCAAAACATTTTTTATTAATTAACAACCAAGGGAGATAGCGGTTCGAGTCTAAAGCCAGCAAAAGCAAGGTCTTAAAAACAAATGGTTTCTTAAAAACAAGCGGTTTCAACTATGTCACATCCAGTTCCATTGTCCATTTCCCCATAAAGTCAGGAATGACACGTATGTGCACACACACAGGGATCCACTCTCTCTCTGCATCCGTGATGATGGAGAACCACCACCGGCCACACTATTTCATTCTAAACCCAGCTCTGTCACAGGCCCAGCGAGCCACATGAACGCAACAGGCCATTTTTAGAAGAGCTCCTACAGACCGAGTCGGAAAAAGCCAGTATCGTATATATATGTAATTTTTGTAACATCTGAAACAGGATTGTTTCAAAAAAAAATTGAAAAACCCCACGGTTGCACTCCAAATGCTGCAGTCTCCCAGCTCCCAGCCACGTTTTCCTAACAGGCTTTTCCATCCCTCAGAACTCCTGACGTATAACTCGCACACAAGCTGATTAAGCACCTACATAAACCTGTTCAGATGCTGCCGAGCACATTTTTCTGTGCCCAGGTAAAAGGGACGGCCCCCTCTAAATTTTGGAAGTAAAAGACAAAGCCACAAGATGGCACTACCACTACATGGGTTCTAGTCTAAAAGGAATCTCAGTAATTCAGAGAGTGGTAACGGTCTGCTGTGTGTACTGTTTAAATGGTGCACACGTTTAGTTTTGTGGTTTTAAGCTTTTTTTTTCTTTTTCTTTTCTTTGAGAACCTAACGGGAGCAGCTCCAAAAAAAAATAATCTAAGTTGCCTATTCAGGATGCTTTTGGTTTTAAGGGAAATGAATAATGTCATTCGTCATAGAGCCAAGGATCGCACGTTTCATTCATGAACCAGTTTGACACAAAACACCCGACCTCAAGCTGGATTATGGCAAACTATAATCCAGCGTTTGCCATATGTTTTGCCATATGACTGACATGTGGGGTTACTTGCCAGTTTCAGCCACGCTTGCCATGAAGCATTAGCGTTGAGCCTCTGTCCCAAACTGCACCATATAAGCAGCGAAGAGGAAAAGAGAGAGTAAAAAGAAATGGAGAAGAACGAGAATGAAAACAAAAAGATACACAGAAAAAGCAACAGTAGAGTTAATATGGCAGATTGAGAACAGTACAATAAATACTAGACGTAACTCGGTATTTTAAGGGGCAGGGTATTGATAATATAATCTACATTGATTTAATCTGGTAGGCTTTTAGTTCAGAATGGATTCAATCTATCTGTAAAACAATAAAACACAAGTTCTTTTCCTTATCTTTTTCACATATAGCTTTAGTAGAAAGTTGAGAAACGCGTGCTTTCTGTTAAAGCAGTGCCTGTTGTAATTGGGTGTTTGAGTAAAACAGCATTACATTAATTTTTGAAGGAACTACCGGACCTGGACTGCACGGGAAGGGCAATTTCTGCAGTACCTGTGAATGGCTGCAAAAAGATCCTCAGTAGTCCTTGGTCTCGCTGGTGTGGCCACTCCGTCCGTCTCCTCCCCATAACCATTGCCGGGCAGGAAGGTGTATCATATCATCTATATTGATTTAATCTGGTAGGCTTTTAGTTCAGAATGGATTCAATCTATCTGTAAAACAATAAAACACAAGTTCTTTTCCTTATCTTTTTCACATATAGCTTTAGTAGAAAGTTGAGAAACGCGTGCTTTCTGTTAAAGCAGTGCCTGTTGTAATTGGGTGTTTGAGTAAAACAGCATTACATTAATTTTTGAAGGAACTACCGGACCTGGACTGCACGGGAAGGGCAATTTCTGCAGTACCTGTGAATGGCTGCAAAAAGATCCTCAGTAGTCCTTGGTCTCGCTGGTGTGGCCACTCCGTCCGTCTCCTCCCCATAACCATTGCCGGGCAGGAAGGTGCTGTTTGCTGCCTCTGCCTCCAACACCTCCACTGCGTGGGGAGAATGGACAACACCCGTCAGGACATCACAGGAACCCACCAGGCACCTCATCCTGAAACCAGCCCTGGCTGCCCCTGAGGCACAGCACCCCAGACACAGAGGGAGCACTACCCTGAGCTCGGAGGGCTGCCTGCCTGGGGAAATGCAGTGCCCCGCACGCCTGCGCTCGCTCTCACACACGGGAGGAGAACAGAGCTGGAAAAAAATTGGTAGTTTCCACTAAAATGCAAAGTCAAAATCACTAACCACCTTTTCATAGCCTGTTTTCATGCACAGTTGAATAAACCGTCATTTTCTTGCCACGTCTGCAATAATGAGAAGTCAGAGAGGAACGATAAGAAATCTCATTAAGTATTAATCTGATCCCTGCAACTTTCTTTAGGCTTTTTAGTTTTAACTGTTGCAAGAGGCTCTTTCCTCTCTTCCTCTCCGTCTCCTCTGATGGTTTCAGAAGCCCACCCGAATGCCAGGATTGCTATTCCCACTCCCCAGCCTTTCCTCTCTTCCTCTCTGTCTCCTCTGATGGTTTCACAAGCCCACCCAAATGCCAGGATTGCTATTCCCACTCCCCAGCTCCTTTAAAATAGCTACTGCTGCATCCGAAGAAGAAGAAAAGCTGGAGAAAGGAGACTCACCACTTTCGTTCTCCTGAGACAGGTGCCCGTCGGCGTTACTGCCGCCGTCCTGGCTGCTGCCCGAGCTGCTTCCTTCATCAAAGGCAGGCTGCTCCTCCTGCCTGGCTGCTTCTTCTTGAGCTGGTGATGCAGCAGGCTGTACCACAAAGGCAGGAGCTCCCGCTGGCTCCGAGAAGGTGAATCCGGCAGCTCCTCCTCCCTCAGGAACCAGGCTGCCAGAGTCCATCTCGCCAGAGCTGAGTCCATCTGTAAGACAGTTCCTCGCCTCCTTGCAGTGTGCGAGCACAGCCTCTCTCTTCGTTGGGCTCGATGTACTTCTGGCAGGATCACCCCCTTCGGCTATTTTCTCCGCTGCCGCAAGATCTAATTGTGGAGGTGGCACGACGAGGAACAGTTTGGGTTTCTTGGAAATAGGAGGTGGCTTCTTGCTCAGCAATACAACCTGAGCCTTGTCGGGGGATGCTGGTGACCCCTGAGGTGACGTGCCAGAAGCACGGAGGTCTTCGCCCTGCCCTGGGGACTCAGGTGTGTCTTCAGTAGGTGTCCCCAGCGAAGCAGCTTCGGCGGGGGGGAAAGTTCAGGGCAATGGGGAGGAGGTGTCGGAAGAGGAGGTGGTGGAGGGGACCCACCAGAATCCACAGGAGAGCTCAGGGTGGGGTCCAGTTTCTTCACGCTCACGCTCCCTTCAGTAGATGTATTCGAAGAAAGAGAAGTGGAGGATGAAGACATGGAGACTGAAGACAGAAGAGAGGATTTCCTCTCAGGCACTTTAGGCTTCAGCTTGGATTTCCCATTTCCCGAGGATGAGGATTTCGAAGAAGAAGAAAAGCTGGAGAAAGGAGACTCACCACTTTCGTTCTCCTGAGACAGGTGCCCGTCGGCGTTACTGCCGCCGTCCTGGCTGCTGCCCGAGCTGCTTCCTTCATCAAAGGCAGGCTGCTCCTCCTGCCTGGCTGCTTCTTCTTGAGCTGGTGATGCAGCAGGCTGTACCACAAAGGCAGGAGCTCCCGCTGGCTCCGAGAAGGTGAATCCGGCAGCTCCTCCTCCCTCAGGAACCAGGCTGCCAGAGTCCATCTCGCCAGAGCTGAGTCCATCTGTAAGACAGTTCCTCGCCTCCTCGCAGGAGAAAGGAGACTCACCACTTTCGTTCTCCTGAGACAGGTGCCCGTCGGCGTTACTGCCGCCGTCCTGGCTGCTGCCCGAGCTGCTTCCTTCATCAAAGGCAGGCTGCTCCTCCTGCCTGGCTTCTTCTTGCACTGGTGATGCAGCAGGCTGTACCACAAAGGCAGGAGCTCCCGCTGGCTCCGAGAAGGTGAATCCGGCAGCTCCTCCTCCCTCAGGAACCAGGCTGCCAGAGTCCATCTCGCCAGAACTGAGTCCATCTGTAAGACAGTTCCTCGCCTCCTTGCAGTGTGCGAGCACAGCCTCTCTCTTCGTTGGGCTCGATGTACTTCTGGCAGGATCACCCCCTTCGGCTATTTTCTCCGCTGCCGCAAGATCTAATTGTGGAGGTGGCACGACGAGGAACAGTTTGGGTTTCTTGGAAATAGGAGGTGGCTTCTTGCTCAGCAATACAACCTGAGCCTTGTCGGGGGATGCTGGTGACCCCTGAGGTGACGTGCCAGAAGCACGGAGGTCTTCGCCCTGCCCTGGGGACTCAGGTGTGTCTTCAGTAGGTGTCCCCAGCGAAGCAGCTTCCAAAGACTTGTTCAGACCTACCGCGCTCGCAGGCTTTTGATGGCTCTCAAGTGCAGGTACATCATCAGAGAGAACGAGAGGAGAGCCCCGAGCCAGGGTCTGAACTGAGTTTTTAAATGAAGTACCTTGAGTTTTCATTTCCTCTTCGCTGAAGCTGTGACTGAGTCTCAGTGAGAGAGATGGCTTCAGGGAAGGCTGCGAGGAGGAATTGACAGTACCCTTTTCCTGAGAGAGGCTTTCAGAAGCAGATTCAGGTGATGGCTCACCTTCCGTGGCTTTTCTCACAGACCTCAGCTGCACCATTTGCAAAGCTTTGGTAGTTACTAAGGGCATCACGGGTCTCGATGCGTCTTGCTTGTTGAGTGGCTGTTTCGCTGGGCTGTAGCAAGCATCTTCCTGGTTACCACGCTTTTTAAAAGAATACTGTGGGTGTATCGTTGCACCTTTTGTTAGTTTGGGATCCAGAGGTGGTGCTGGTGGCGGGACAGCTAAGGGGAAAGTAGAAGGAGGGAGAACCGGGGAAGCGAACGAACCGATGGAGGCTTCTTGTGGAAACCATGGGACAGTCTGGGCAAAGGAAGAACTTACATCAGCTTCTGGCGGAGGAGGGGGGAAGGTGGGAGAGGCTGGCAATGGTGACAGGTCCATGACTTCTGCTGGAGGAGGGGAGGATGAAGACATGGAGACTGAAGACAGAAGAGAGGATTTCCTCTCAGGCACTTTAGGCTTCAGCTTGGATTTCCCATTTCCCGAGGATGAGGATTTTAAAAGCACAGGCACTGGAGTAAGCGCAGTGGGTGTGTTGGACTGGCTGGAGTACCCACTCGACGGCGATGTGACTCGGTGGGATTTCTCCGGAGAAGCACTCTTTGGTTTGGCCAGTCCAGTGGGCACTTGTGGCACAGAAGCCCTTGAGCCATCACTGAAGTGGCTCCCGCTGTAATCGCTGAGAGCAGACGACGTGCTGGCGGAAGGGGTCACGGGGGACTTCACCTGGTCATCCGCCACCGCCGCGTAGTCGCTGTAGTAGCCCCACTGGTCAGCGTACTCCGACTTGATGCTGCTGGTTTCGCTCTGAGAGGGAGTGACGGTGCAGATGGAGTAGAGGTTTGGAGCCGTGGTGGACATCATGCTGCTGCTGGCGCTGACCGAGCTCTGGCTGCGGGAGCGCAGCACCCAGGGATCCTCGTAATCGCTGCAGGGGCTCTGGGAAGGGGAGCTGCCGTTCTTGCACTTGAGGTTCAACTGCAGAGAGTGCTGGAGGGTGGCGATGAGGGTTTCATCGAGTACCTGCCCGTTGGACTGGGCTTTCTTCTTGGGCACCCTCCGGAGCGAGTCTGTTCTGGATGGTGGCAAAGGCGGCTTCTTTGCCTTTTTCAGAGAGATGTTTCTTGCGAGGGATTTGTCACCTTGGCCTGACTGGTCATCCTGATGTTTCTTCTCCTTTCCTTCAAAGACGTTTATCACGCTGTCTCTGGGGTTCCCAAAGCCATTCGTGCTATTGCACGGCACGTCTGACTTCAGCCCGGAGTCCGTATGCATGGAACTGTAATAACCATCGTGGTCCACAGAATAGAGAGAAGCAGAATCGTCCCTGACCGAAGTCCTCTCCAAGCTGCTGCTGCTCAGGTTGCTCCCTGGAGTGGCACAGCCCGGTGGGGTACAAACCACCTTGCGTGAAGGAGTCTCGTTGTTTTCTGCAGACTTGTAGAGCCAATGCTCTGCGCTGGTGGCCGCTGCTTGGGCTCGCTCCCCAGAGTAGCTGGATTCACTCCTACCATCGCTGCTGTCCTGGGAAGGGTTTGGCAAAGCCAGATTGTTCCTGCAGCTGTAGCTCCCGCTTTGAGACCCAGCCTCTGGGTTTCCAGGAGTGCTAAGAGAGACGGCGGAGTCACCAAGAGAAAGTATCATGGCAGCGTTGGATGGGATGGTATCTGAGGTCTGTGAGTGACGCGTGGAGCTGCTCTCGCTCCAGTTACCGCTTGAGGAATGGTGATCTTCCTTCCCACTTACTGCACCGCTGGCCACAGGATTGTCCCTTGGCTTTGGGTAGGCAGAGGAGCTGGTACTTTTGCTGTCCAACGATCCAAGGCTCTGGGCAGTGTGAATTACAATAACTTCTGAGGAGGACGACAGCGTGGCGTTGGGGATGATGCTGGTTGAGTAGGTGGCATGAGGAGAGACCACGCACGCTGGGCCGGCGGACTTTTCGCTCTCGTAGCTTCTCACCTCTTGAGACTTTGGCCTCGACAGGGTCCCCGTGGTGGGGTTATTCCTCAGGTGCACAACATTCTCATCCACTTGCAATTTACTTAGCTGGTGGGGTAAAGTGCCAGCCATGTCTTCTGCCTGCCTAGAGATGCTCTGGGTCTGCTCTAGGGAGTGCAGAGACACCCTGGCACCGGCCCGAGGCAAGCTGTGAAACCCCATGTCGCTATTTTGGCGTGAAGCAAATATCACGGCGGCGGAATCGCTCATCACCGACATGTTTCCAGAGGAGCTGGAGAACTGAGACATCTGGGCTGCGATGCCTTGTCCTTTCTGCGCCCGTATCCTCCTCATTGAAGGGGGCACAACTTTGATTTCCTCCGTCTGGCAGCTGGTGTCCTTGGTTTCGGAGCGCTGCATGGCGGAGCGATAGCTGTCCAGTCTCCCCAGCGTGGAGCAGTGATCCGGGACATACATGGAATGCCCTCGGAAATCACTTTGGCCACTGCCAACTGCTGGAGTCAAAATAAAATAATTATTCCTTGCGGCGCAAACGCACATTTATCTTCTTACTCAGTTAAAAACACACACACAAAAAAAAACCCACCCCAGCCAAACTGGCTGATCCCCACGCTCTTGAAGGTTATGCCTTGTGGAAAAGAATCTGCAACAATGGATTTTGCACAGGCATTGTGTCTTTTCTGCATTTTCTCTTCCCTTTTTCCTTATTACCAGGAACCTTCTCCTTACTGGATCATCTGCGTTCCTGCCGCACATTCGACACGTGAAATCCGCTGTTTATGACATGGTAATAATTTCCATAGTAATCAGTTATGTCAGAAACCAAGTCGCACTGTTTGACTTCCAGTAGGCAAAGCAGCAGGAACAGACAAAAGCCTGAGAAAGGCAAAGTGTGTTTCCATGCTAATGCCTCCTCGTGCAATAAAGAAAAAGGGGAAGGAAACGCGGAGACTAACGTGAATAATCAGATCTGCTTTTTAAAAGCATTACACTTCAGGAAAAAAAAAAATAAATTCCGGAGACACAGATAGCTCTCTGAGTCTTGCAGTTCATCTGAAAGGAGACTAACACGTGGAAACGTGCATTGTTTTACCACAAAATACTACGTTTACTCTAACAGCATTTATACAAAGACATTATCCCACACTGCAAAGAAAGCCATTCGATAACATTTCTCCACACAATGACTTTCTATTTGTCATGAAGGCAAAACTCCAAGAAGCGGGCAAAAGAAACAGCTACTACTGATGGTCGTCTCATCCTCAGCACCGACAGGAAATAAAAAATAACTGTATTTTTTTAAAATTAAGTAATAACCATCTATTGGCAGTAAAGGAAACTTTGAGGACAATTGAAAACCATCCGTTCAAAATACAGTTATCACTGGGCCAGCCGAAAGGACTCTTAGGGTTCTTTTAAATTTACATTTTTATTGGTAGCTGCCTTTCAAAAATCACAAACCAGAGCACTGCCTTAAAATGGGTCTGTGTGAGGCTGTTGCTTCTCGATTCAGTGGCACGACTGTATAAATAGCAGAAGGAGAGGCAGGCGTGCTGCCCGAGAGGCTGGTGAGGATGCTGCATATGTCGCTGCGGGGGGAAAATCAGTTATTTCAAGTCTCTGCCTTAAAGCTACTCTCAGGAGCCATGAAGTAACACGCCTGATAGGACTGTTCTCCTTTCCTTTCCTATCTACTGCAGGGACCTAGATGGGGAGGATAGGTATTCTTCTCATGCAGCTTTAACCGCCACTTAAAGGACATTTAATTATCCTTATTCTTGGCAGGCAAAAGAGGCATTTAGGAGAAGGAAAAGAGAGCTCTGAAAAGGCTCCAGTGAAAGCAGCACACACAAAAAGACTGTTTACTTCTTTTCCCCAGGCACACAAGTAGTCTTTTAGCAGCTTGAAGCCTATTTAGTTTGCTTTGTGTGGATTCTCTCTCATGAAAATGTAGGCTCTTTCTGCTCCTGGTCGAGGTTTAGCAGCGAAGCTCCATGCTTGGATGCTGACAAACATCGATTCTCTCTCTCGCTCTCATGAAAATGTAGGCTCTTTCTGCTCCTGGTCGAGGTTTAGCAGCGAAGCTCCATGCTTGGATGCTGACAAACATCTTGGATAATCTGAGATGAGATACTGTCAGAACAGATGGACTCCTGCAGCCAACCAAGAGAGGTATTTGCATATTCTGTAGGCAGTTATTAAGAACTGTACAGTAAGAAAAATAAATTCTGCTTTCCAATGTGTATTTTCTCAATAGAATCAGGTTAAGAGAGAGAAAAAACATCAAAGCAGACATCATGAATGTTTCTGGAAACCGTGACATCACTGATAACAACTGTTTGCCAATTAAAATAGCCGGTAGTAAAAATCTGCTTATTAAGTTGTATCAATAACCAAGAAGATGGGGTATTTTTCTTCTTTCTACTTCTATGAAATGTACACACACGAGACAGAGGATGGGGCTGGTGGAGAAGGAAGCTGTCAGCGCTACAGCAAGTATCTAAGGCCATCACACACTGACCTGTGGCTGAGAGCACCCTGTTCCAGTTTGCAGTTAAGTTTCTATGCCCAAAGGAAGCCAAATCCACTCCACAAGCAGCATAAAGCACACGGGACAGTTTATGCTTGTTTAAAAGGCTACTGCTGGGGAAGGTAGATGGCAAAGCAGGACAGCGCTGGGCTTCCTAACCTCCCCTTTCCTCCTTCCCAAACCAGGAGAGAAGAACTGCAGGAGGCTACGTTGTTTATGTTTGTTATTAAAACAGATATAACTTTGGGTCCAGTCTATTACGCTCATGGAAACTGCATCAATCAACTCGACAGCAGCAAACCACAGGGCTACTGTAGTACTGATCCTTCAATCATCATATGGGATTTGGTGAGGGAAGGGTCTCCTCATGGCTGATGCTATTAGAAGAACACATTTTGAGGTTTTAAGTACTTTTTGTAGGAAAGGAGCATACTCTGAAATTACTTCAGTTTTGGTTTTGGCTTTACATCCCAATCTCACGCAAAGCTGAGAGGATTTATTTGCCTTTTGTAGGACAGCAATTGCTCTTTTTATAGTTCCACTTTCTGAAGAGGGACAAGAGAAATCTGCTGGGAAAACGGTTCCAAAAAACCTAACCAAAGGAACATTTAAGATTCAGGGATTCTCTTAAAATGTTGAGGGTTTTAAGATTTTGATGGAATTCAGAGGAGGGTAAGGAGGAGTATTTTGTTTCCAATTTACAACTGCACTGTAAGACCCTCACTCGCTTCCAGAGTAACTCTGAAAAGCAAGGGTTTTCCCAAATCCTTAAAATCAGACCTGTTTTGTTGGTAGTGCAGCTAGAACATGAACCACCCAACTCTAAGGGATAACTCTGAGAACCCGGGACCTAACAAGCTCAAACCTTTAATTGGCATCGCACTGAAAACTCTACATCTCTCAGAAGACCTCTACTTAAATAAATAGTGGGCAGAAGTTACAAGATTTCTGCGACACCAAAATTCTGGAACTGAATCAGAGCTTTTCAAGATCACCATCCCTGAGTCCATCTAACTGCAGGGGGGATGCCTGAGCAGCAACAAATATTGCAGAACTGGACATCAGGTTACAGATGCTGAACATTATGAAGTTAAAAGTGGCTGCAATGTGGCTGAAAGTAATTAACAGTCATCTTGTCTGCATTTTATATGATGCTGTGTCCAGCAGCCCAGCAGCCAGTGCTACGTCCACCACAGGAGACATGTATCTAGACTTCTTTCATCTTTATTACCCTACTTCTTGCTATGCTGGAAGCATCTCTTAGGACAAATGCTCTTCCCTAACGCCCTTGTTCAGCGTGGACTCCAGCAGCAAGTAAAGAACACCCACAATCTGGAACCAGTGAAACATGCAGCATATTTAACATCTCTTGGATGGAAGCACAGAGATGATGTTCCAAACACACACCTTAGCTCCAAGCGCTTGATCCAAAATGGGCACATACTGGTTACACCAGTTTTCCCTGACTGGTAGTTACTGGTGTCGCTCGTTAGAGCTGACAGGGACTGAGACTGACTGCAAACCTGATGGAAAAAAGCGTCTGCACGTAACACCTAAGGCCAGGTACTGGCTACTAGAAGACTCCCTGTGACTCTGGCTGATCTGGTGGCCCCAACAACTTGCTGCAGAGAATGAGCAAAAAGGTCCTCTGCATTGAAACGAGCATAGAAAATGGAGGATTTGAGAGGATCAAAAGTAGGTGTGTTGATATCACAAAGAACACACTTGTTTCAACTAGTGTACAGAAGCAATGTCTCTTCCCAAACTTCTTCTGACTAATCATTTCTCCCATAAGCACTTGCCTCTTGTGCCACAGGCACATTCCTGAGATTTGTTGCCTTCGCCTTCTACTCATGCCCCACCAAGCAATCCTCCTCCAAACCTGGTGGCCAAGTCACCGTGCAGGCAACACAACTTCCAGTGTTATAAAAAAAACCCAGAGATTTTTCACAGAAGCACAGAATGATATGGGGTTGGAAGGGACCCCTGGAGATCATCTAGTCCAACCCCCCAGTAGGTGATTTTTCACCTATTTCACCTTAGGACTTACACACCAAATTACTTTTAACAGACACCCAACGAGAAACAGACAAGTACATCGGGCTTATGATAAATTTAAGGCATTTTCACTGTGCTCCATGAAGCATCTGTAATCTCTCAGAGGGGAGAAAAATATTGCACAGAATTCTGCGATACTCTACTGCCAGCTAAAAAATATCCTGAATCCTTGTGTATATCACTGCCACCCTGAAAGGGAGAATTTTGATAAAAATATAGGGAATTTAAGTTTTCTTGATTCTGTTCGTTTCCCTAACTGAAGAACCTCTAGTAAAGATTATATTGTAAAGATTGTATTCCTGGTGTCACTGTCTTCCATCCCCCGTTATCAAAAAGCAGATGCTACGTACTTTGGAACACCCTGATCTCCGGATGGATTGTGCTGGAAACACACAATGTTGAAAAACTACAGCTACAAAACCAGTATTAGTTAAAAGGTACAATAACTCTGAAAGAGAGATATTCTCTCCAGACTGTTGAAGTTGCAACTTGAAGAATTACTACTTGGCTTGAACAGTTGGGTCTTTGCATGGTACTTCTGCAGGACCACTGGATATCTAGGACTCTTCTTAACTGTGGGACCTTGTAACTTGAAGAGCCAAAGGGACTAACTGGAAAAGAATCTCAATTAAGAGCAGACTTCAGTAGAACAGCTGAGTTCCCAAAGATCAGATGGATTTATGTGCTCCCATGTTGCTGAGATGGAATTGTTTCCTCCAAGACATGTCAAAGGAGAAGCTTCAACAGTCCCAAATGATACCTGGGACACCAGCTGGTACCAACAGGGGGTCTGAGATGTGCCACCGGAAATCACATGAGGGGACTGACTCTTCAGGTGTCAGTCACATCCATCCTGATGAGCGACAGAAGGTCCTAGTCAGCTACTGAAAATGGGAGGCAGGGAAATAAGCTGAAGAAAAGCAGCTCCTCCTGCAGGACAGTGAGGGAGTCCAGGACACCAGAAGCTGTCCATCGGTGCCTGGCACTAAACCAGTGCAGAGCTCTGGAGAAATATTCACAACCAGGTAACTTGGTACCTTCACAAAAAGAAAGCCAGTCTGAGCCAAACCCCAGAGCAGTGACACAGAGAAGCGACTATGGAAACGTGAAGGCACTTTGCTGCCTTTATTTCATCTGGAGAGTTGGAAAGCATGAAGGAAGCAGAAGATAACCAGGAGCCTCCAACAGGTTCTCCCAGAGAGCTGCTCATCTCTACCAAACTTCTGTTTGGGAATCATCTTCTTGCCTGAGGGGAGAACACCTGTTCGCATACAAGGTACCATCTGAAGAAGTTACAAGGTACCATCTGAAGAAGTTAGAGGCAATGGATAACGGGAACATAAAGCAGAGAAACTGTGAGCACAGAAACTTGGAAGTAAAACGTCATTTCCTGGCTTCTTGCCCTTTCTGCAGTTTTGATCCAACACTGACTCCACTAAACATATATATATGTACAATGTTTATGTTCTGGAAGACAATGAAGGTAATTCAGAGCTATGCAAAACTCATTTTCTCATTGCTGTGTTTGGCGCAGAGAAGAGCACTTTGCCTTCTCCTCCTACTTTGCTAAATAGTACTGTGAGGGTCCTGCTGGTAAAAAAAAAATTGACCAGAAAATGACTATCATCTCTAAACTGGTCGGCATCTCGTATTCTTATTGTGTCTCAGAATCCCATCACATCCTATCACATCACATTTTATTTACGCAGCACTTTTTATGTGGAAGTTTCTAGGTTCCTCAGAAAGACCAGTTCATCGCTGGAGGACACCTATGAAAACACGGCAGTATTACAGTGCTTAGACATTCCCATTCCTGAAGATACTTCCAGAACATGCCTCATGGGTGCAGTTAATGACTCCTCGCAGCACGTTGGGCTAAATTCTATGAGGGTACCACGGTACCGCTGAACTCAGGCCAACAATCATAGAATTGCCCAGGCCGGAAGGGACCTCCAAAGGTCATCTAGCCCGACCTCCCCGCAGTCAGCAGGGACACCCCCAACTAGACCAGGTTGCCCAGGGCCTCGTTGAGCCTCTCCTTGAATATCTCCAGGGATGGGGCCTCAACCACCTCCCTGGGCAACCTGTTCCAGTGCTCCACCACCCTCACAGTGAAGACCCCTCTCCTATTCTCCAGTCTAAATCTGTTCCCCTCCAGCTTGAAGCCATTGCCCCTCATCCTGTCACTGCAGGCCTTTCAGCGTGGGCTCTCTCTTCTTTTTGGTCTTTTTCCTTCCAAAGGAGCCAGGGGAGAACCTCAGCAGCTTGGCCCCGGCAGAAGCTCTTCGAGGCTCTCTCTCAAGAAAGGAAAATAGTTCAAGCTTGGTTGAAGCTTTGAGGTTCTCTCAAGTTTCTGCTTCCTTCTGAAGGATAAACAAGAGGTAACAAGAATCTGCTGTATGTGTTGGTTATTTAGCCTGCGCACAGCAACTTTGGTCTACCAAGGGATTTTAATCTTTGTGTAAATATTGTAGCCATTCGCAGCAATGCTTTAGGGGAGAAACAAAGAGATTTATTCAGCTGAAACCACAGGGAGAATGTCAATAGGCACAATGCGATTGCTTGATTTGGAGTTTAGTCCGGATCCTTGTTCCGATCAAATGAACTGTGGAATGTTTTAAAACAACTCGTTGTTTGTTTTGGGACAGCGTAAGAGAAACAGGGAACGGAGCGCTACAGAAATATTTGGGGAGTGACAGGGGAGAAAAGGCAGAGAGAGCACTGAGCAAGGATGGGGGAAGACTTAATTTATCCCCAGCCTTGCCAGTGGCCTGGTGGGTGACTTTGGCTAAGTCACCTCACTGCGGCGTGACTGCTTTCCCCACCTGTAAGATGAAGACACTGATAACAATTCTCTTTTCAAGCACACTTTGTTTCTAGCGATGGACAGCAACACACCAACAGGATGGATCCTGCCATTTCCTGGCATACATTTTGCTGTCTGGACAACATACAACCACCACAGAAGCAACGTGAAGCTCCTCAGACAGCTTCCACTGTAGGGCAGATGGCTGAAGCCCTATGTGCCTGCTGGTCGTGGGCCAGGGAACTGTCCCAGAGAGAGCTCCTGCAGTGAGATACTGCCAGCCCTCACGTTTCCGCAACTTGAAACAGGAGCCAAGGAAAACCTTCAAGCCATGCAACATGAAATGGGCTCAGCCCAGAGATGAAAGACCGAAATCAAGACCATAAAACCTGTCACCCTTAGCAAAACAGACTGGCAAAAGTCACAAACTTCTTTTAAGATACCAGTTGAAGAATTCTTTTTAAGGTAGATGCCAACTGCGTTCTCCGTTTATTCCACCAGGCAAACTACAGTCGACGTTTTCAAGCATTAAAGCTTGTCCGAAGTGGTCACAACCATAACCTTGAAGTTTTGGAAGTGCTGCTGGCAGGAAGCATTCTCCACTCAAGTACTGTTGTCACCCGTTTCAAACTCCACGTGCCTGGGAGAGCATTGGGAACCCAAACAAGTGACAAATGGTAGTGTGGGACAAAATGTTCTCCACTATCTGCCCTCGAGGTAGGTCCTACACGTGTCAAAGATAATCTCTGTCGAAAACTATTATAACAAGTGGGACAAAACGTTCTTCTTTGCTCTGCTTTTCTCCACTATCTGCCCTTGAGGTAGGTCCTACACATGTCAAAGATAATCTCTGTCGAAAACTATTACCTTGGTATGTGTATCTTTTTCACAACACCACACTGGACTCAAGACCACTGGAACAACCCCAAAAATGAACAGTTGAAGAGATGTCCTGTATCAGTTTTGCATTTAAGCAGCACAAGCGTTTCATCAGTATCAGTTTTGCATTTAAGCAGCACAAGCGTCTTTAAGGAGCACAAGTCATTTAATCTGAGCTCTGGACAAAGAGCAAAGCGATTTAGTTTAAAATAGAAGAAGGGAATGTAAAAAGTATTCATTCTGAAGAGATAAGAGAGGATGAAGGTTCTCTCTACTATTCCTCAGACCAGCTGTAAACATGGTAGGTGAGTGATTAGCCTCAGAGAGACCTAAAATAACAGGAGGGAATCTTTTGTTAAGAATAATTCAGTATTATGTTTTATGTAGCTTTGTCTCCAGCTTTGATCTTTCTTTGATTAGAACAAATCTATTTTATTTAACTCTCAAGCTTGCTTATACTTGATTGCCAGGCTGATAAATGTGTCGTTCTCTCTTAGGAAATACCAAATTCAAATTTTGACCTCCAGGAGGACTCCAGGTCTGGAAAGTGTCTCCTGCCAAGGTGGCAAGGCCCATTATGGACAGTGAAGAGGGAAGAAGGGAACCCACACGATGAGGAGGAGTTCCCTATAGCAAGCACAAAACAGCATCCATCTCACAAGAAGAGCTGGACAAAGACCCCTGGCAGCTCTGGACAACTCTCAGAGCAGCAGTCAGAAATAAAATCATTATGTGAGATCCAAAGGCAACGAAATATAAAGCTACCTAACTTTAGCCAGCCTGACAGGGCTAAGGCAAGTGAATTTTCTTTCCTGAGGCAGAGGATTCACGTGGCAGGACATGTTTCATTACAGATGCTGAAGGAGCACAGTTCCACTCACTGACTGCTCTTGTACTTGCTCGTTTCTCATCTTTCTCTACACCTGCCCCTCTAGCTCATTTCAAAGCCATCCAAACAATTTACGTATTTTTGCTTCCGTTTCTGAAAAATCTAGAACATAAGACTGAAAACATAATTAAAAAAGAAAGAGATGCAAAATGCAAGGTAGTAAAACTTATGGAGATCATCAATATATGAGATGATTTCATTGTGAAACACCTAAAATTACGTCCTGCCAGACTATTTTAAAGGACACTCTTTCTCTACTACAAAAACAGAGAGGGGAAGCGTAATTTTATCTGTGAAGTTATCATTTGGGAAAAACTGCAATATCTTTCTTTTTTAAAAATAAATAAGAACGACCAGATTTAAATCAAAGAGTTCTGCAAAAAGTGCCTGAAAGGTCTGCCAAAATTCAGACTGCTTCATCAGCTTTGAGTATCATGTATGCTACTAACTGTGAAAGAGGGCAGCCCGAGGTAATGTAAATGTGACTGGCTGTATTTCCTTTGGAATATAATAATAGCTAATGAGCCCATGTAAATTACTTTCAATTAAATAACACTGATAGTTAAGGGGTCGCCAATTAGATCTAAACTGACCTGGAAAATATACAGGTTTTTCAGTGTTGATGTAACTCTCGGCAGATTCAGGAAGGCATCCATGAATTGTTTTACTGCACTGAGTAATTATTTGCAAACCAAAATTCCTTTCCCTTTCAGGTTTGCTTCAGTGAACATCCCGGGGGAGTGGACCAAATCTCCAGGAGAGCATTAAAGACCAGAAACCTTACATCCCTGCAGATTCCCATTGTACCAGTACACCATTCTCCAAACACCTTGTCCCCTTCAACAGATGGAAGTCACCAGAGAAAAGACCCTCATTTCCAGATGCAGCAGGTGGCAAGGAGGCACAGAGGTATTTGGAACTGTAATAGGCTATCAGACTGTATTGGTTTCATGAGCACTGGTAATGTTATTAGTGGAGTAACGATCAGCAGTGACAATGAACAGGGGATGGAATACAGTTCTGATGAGCCATACCTAGCTCCTTTTGTATGTTGTCAGGGATTCCTGTAATAGTCTTTCTCCTTTTGACTTTCTTCGGCCGTCTTACCACCGTGTCTGTGTAAATTAGAGACCGCCGAATGCTGGCTTGGCGGTCGAAATTCTCCCCTAATAACATGGTAGAACAAGCAAAGCAACATTACTTCCAAGCACGCTGACATCATGCACTTTCTTCCACGAGTTTGGTTGTAGGAATGGAAAAAAAGGCATTAATAAATGATGTTAGCTTGGGCCTACAATGAAGCTTTACACTGAAGAAAGATACGGCACATCGTCACAATAAGGCTTTAGACACACATATGGGTTTGTTACACAGATTTTAAAAGGAATTTTGACTTCCTGAGCTTGGTTCAAAGCTGCTCAGAATAGCTCTGTCTCTACAAGTGAACAGAATCCTTGCTTGAATTTGGCCTTTCGTGGCTTTTTTTTTTTCTCTGTGTGTGGTTGTTGGGGTTTTTTTAAAGTAACGAGCTGCAGAAAAAGCAAATCTGCTCATGAAAATGAAAGATCACAATGGTTTATCCAGGAACAGACATTGCTATTGGCAACAGCTATTACGACTTCTTTGCACAGCTCCATCATTAAATCACACGAGACGCTTCTTTTTCATTCCAAGTTGCTCTGAACCTGTCAAGTGCTCCACGTTTCTGGTGGGGATCTTTTAACATGAATACAAATAAGTCCTACGGAGCACGCAGAGATCAAACCGATCTCGTGGCCTCATAAATATTTCAGTCAGAGTGGAAGCTGCTTAAAATTGGAACTTTAGAAATTATGATGAAAAAACACAACGGCAAGAGCTGAAGAAATGTGTGTCTAAGTGCATGTTGCCAGACAAAGCCTTACGATGACCACGTGCTGTATCGTAACGGGACCCAGAAGCAACACTATCATTAAGGTTGAGCAGCTTTTCTTTAGGAATTCACTTTTGTTTAGAGGTTTATAATGTGGTCATTTTACTAGTAGCAAGATAAAACTCGCCCTATAGATTGGGAGCAGACTTAATTCTCTGTCACTTCTAAAAATCCACCACCCCCACATCTCACACATAAGTTCTCTTTTTAAAAGTTAAAGCGTTTTAAAGCACTACTAAATGTCCTTTAGATGACCCACTTAAAACTTAAATGCCAAAAAAACTGAATATACATGTATGTGCTTTTTGCCTTGTACGCTTTCTTTTGGAAAATTGATGACCAAATTATTTACCTCTAAAAAGTGATTAATGCATAGTAACTAATATGTCATAAATATTACCCCTTGGCTGACTCCACATCAGTACGATGTGTGTCGTGCAAATAGCGTAGAAAAACCTTATTACCTCTACAACAGTTAAAGATACAGTCATATATTAAAGTATAGCATGTGGACTTGTGAAAATGCAAGAAAAAAATGTAGCCGTTAAATAACACCACATTGTAAATACAAAGACTCTGACCCTGCTTGACCGGAGCCTTGTGCTTCTGTGAGCTCTGCAGAATCTTCCCAGCTACAAAGAAGGGCCAGTTTCATCCCAGTTTCGGGTTGATTGAAGTCAGGGCAGATTAAGGGAGGAGGAAACCCATGGGATCTATCAAATTTAGAGTTATGGATCCCACAGGCTTAGTGGAAGTCCTAAAATACCGAGACAGACTATGCACTGTCTGGGGCATTAACCACTATTACGACATTAGGACCCTTATGGGGTCAGGGTCAGGATCGTGGATCCTCCTGCCCCATGGGATGATAATAATTCTAGCCACATCATAACAAATCCAAAGAATTTGAAAGAGAATGTTTGCCATCTCTGAACGTATCTTTACCCACTCAAAGGCAAACAATTATGCCAGCGATGGTGAATTGCAAGGAAATTAAAATACAGCCCTGGAATATAATGTAAGTGGTAAGGAGAAGGTGCAAACAAGGACAGAGTCTTTCACATGAAGCCTCAGAGAGCACAAACAGGATGACCACGGGGAAATGTTACTGTGTCAGCTGGTCTGCAATAACTTCTTCCCCTGAACTACCCAAGAGCTAACTCAACCCATCCACCTTCTATGGCTTTGGAGACACAAAGGCTTCTCGAAAGCCACTGTACAAATTTGTAGAATTTTGAAGTAGCAGCTTCAATAAATTCCAACAAGCAAAATCAGAATGTCTCAGTCTTTTTTCCTTTCCTCGTTGTCATCTTTTTTTTGAAGAAAATATTGATGTTAACATTAAATATATTTTGCAGATTTAAGGATACTTTTCTCCTTCTGCTTGTAACAAACCATCTGAGCATTCCCCACACAGTTCACTCTTGATTCCCCTCATAAAGTTTAGTTAGTTTTCTTGGATTCACTGAAAATATTTAAGTATGTGCTCAAATCTCACTAAAATCACTCAAGCTGGACTCAAGCAAACGCTTAAATATTTTGCAGGAACCAGCCTGGCGCTGATCACCTCCACCATCACCAGAACTCCTCCATCTGGAAAGAAAGTTAGTTCCCAAAAACCCACAGGAGCAGACACCATTAAAACATCCTGTAACCCGCAGGGTATCTAGAAGCAAAGGCTGGCCACCAGTGAAAATTCAGCCTAACCCTATTCTGGGCCAGAATAAGCTCTCCCAAAGACTGAAACTCCATCTATCTAGTTGGCGCGTTGAACGAACGACACCCAATTTTTGGTCTCTTTTTCTTTTTTTTTTTCCCCTGCCTCGTGCAGTAACATAAGGAGCTTCACAAAATAAAATTACTCGGCGTGTGGGAGGGCAGAGGAGGGGAGCAGATTGTGACTTTTTAAAGAGGAACGAGGACTGCAGATTTTTTTTGTGTGTGTTGTGTGTGGATTGGAGTCTGTTACTGCCGCTTGCCTTGTTGCACAATGTAATTATTCCAAGGGAAAGGAAACGGTGGATCCCAGCGACCAGTGCACATCCTGCAACAGCAGGCTTCCTCCTCTGCCTTCTATCCTTTCTGATCACTGGTGTTTGTAAGGGAATAAATTCTCCACAGCACACTCCAGAAAAGGTGAGGTGTGATATGCAGGTGCACTATTTTTATCAGAAAAGTGAAGAACTGCTGAGTTTGCCGAGTACAAGCCAAACAATTCAGCAGGGACAAGATTCATTACACCAGTCAAATTAAGCTGGTTGAAGTCACAAGTGTCATTTACAGCCATGTTCCCAGTGACACTGAGTTAAATCTATAAGGGTTATTTGATTTCTTTTACCTCTTTTTTTTTTTTCCCCCCATCTGCTTACTTCCCCCATAGATTTTCACTACGGGGGGTCATTACATCGAACAGAGATTACTTTTTCTGTAGGTAAAGTACAAAAAATATCTGTATTTCTTACTGTTCCTGCTGTTACAATATCTAAACCCTGCTCAAGCTTTATAAATTATCTCAGATTATCCGCTGTTCCCACAACTCAGTCTTCTGCACCTGTAGAAAATATCTGTATTTCTTGCTGTTCCTGCTGTTACAAATCTAAGCCCTGCTCAAACTTTATAAATTAGCTCAGATTATCCGTTGTTCCCACAACTCAGTCTTCTGCACCTGTATCCTACACTCCCCAGATAATGCCAATGGGCCTAGTAACATTTTGGCATTGCATTTATTTTCCTTCTATTAATTTTCCAGAGGTGGGATGTTTGTAATTTTCTGTTTTCTTCATGTCATTTATTTAAAATATTTTCTGCTGTTTATTTAAGGAAACATCTCTTGCTGATTTCTCAGAGCTCTCTGACGTTTGTCATAGAAGTACTGCTCCAATACTATTTAAATGGTATTCAATAATACTATTTTAAATACTAGTTTATAAAAATATAGATGAAAAAATTATTGGTAGTTACGCAGGGAAAGAGAACATCTAATTTACTTTCAGAAAAAAGCCAAACATGGCAAGCTATCGATTGTAAGAGGGAGCATAGAGCCAGAGAGCACCATATGGCATTTGAAATAAATTGGATATTGAATATCATCCCAGTTTTGGCAGGCAAACGGTCAGTTATTTGAATTAACTAATAATAGACAATCTAGATACTGTGAAGAAAAGATTATTAAACTGAAGTGATAATTCAGCCTTTCACAGAAATTCTATTTACACACAACGAAGTATCTATTCAGCATTAAGCTTTAACATAATATGTAACTTCCACAGAGTGGGAGTTCTGCTAGTGTAAAACCAAAGAGCATTTTCAAAATGAAGAGTTAATGCACTGTTCATAACAAGAAAATGTGGATTATTATCAAATACATGGTGTGTCTTATCAAAAGTCTTGCTGAAAGACATAGTCCCATTAACTTTTGCTGTTCTTCCCCTGCTCTCCTTGGCACCTAAATCTCTTGATGCTGATAAAAGTAAGACCCTAGAGTTTTTTCTTGAATTTTGTAACAGTTAGTCTTTGGAACACAGAAGTCCCTGACAACCACAGAAGTCCCTGATAACCTTTCTTACATAAAACTCCTAGAAGAAAATCCTGAAATATCATTAGCATTGCATAAAACATGATTTTCAAGTACATTTCTTCAGTGCAGTCCACAGCAGAACATCGCTGTTTGTCAATCCTCTTCTTGTATTTCATGAATATCTAATACCATTTCAAGCCCACATTGTGTTGACTATCTTCATTAATGATCATTTTAAGGGATTTTGAGGTTTTCTCATTAAGTTCGGAGCTGAACTATTAAACACAAAACACTGTTTTCACCGAAAGGTGCAGGAAGGAATTCAAAATTCAGGCATCAAATATACAAGCGTCAAAATACTATCCAACTGTATGGATCCCCTTTTATCCCTTTCCCTCCCTCATCAGTGTAGTGTAATTATTGAAATTAAAAGCCTACCAGTCACATTAATAGGAACCACATCTGTCTGGACGGCCTGTGCTTGCTGTCGCATTTTCTCTTCGGGCGTTGGCAGTGGGAGGGACTTGGTCCAGTTGGTTTGGGTGTTGATATCTGATAACTCATTTGAAACTGGAGTTTTAGGCCTTTTGATGGTAATAAGCTTTTCTTCTTCGGGGGAAGAGACGGGACACTACAAGGAGAAATACATGCAACAATGTAAGTTGACCAAAAAAAGAAGGTAAGACTATGGTATTACTAAGGTATTGCTGCTGCTTTCAGCATCACTGCTTGTCCAGCAAAATGCACTCTCATAAATCTCACACTTTGACCCACAAAAACAGTGATTTAAAAAAAACCAACCAACCAACCAACCCACAACAAAACACTCAGATTGTATTTATCCAAGACATCTGATCAGTCTATGGAATATATACCAAGGAGAGAGAAAAGAGTGGTCTTGAGCACAGCAAAGCACAGCGACTAATTATCTCATACACGGACGTTGTCCCTGGAGTGATTAACCCCTCCCTCTCATTAGGAAAATGAGATCTGAGCATTCTTTGCTCTCGCTGCACTAGGTTGGGAGGATGCGTACGGTCTCAGCCAGAAGCCTGTTATGAAGAGAGAGATTTTGGGAGAGCTCAGTAAGAGAAAGAGCCAATGCACTCTACAAAACCAGCTGCCACGGATCAGCGAGGCAGCAGAAGTAACTGTGATTTGGTCTTGGAGAAACTCATGCCACGGTGGAGGGGTTTGTTTTGCTCTTTTTTCGGGGGTGAAGTAGTTAACAATATTAGTAGCCACAGAATAGTAATTTTTAAAGTCATTCCTTACCAAAGTGTCAGGTTTTACCTACATGATGAGTGTTTTGCTTAAAAAAAACCCCTACACCCAAAACCCAACGAAACAAAAACTTTCTGCACCAGAGAAAAAGGTTGCAGCAGCTTGTGCAAATCCTTCCACCAGACAAAGCTTTAATGCCAAAAATGCCCTTTCCTTTCAGGAAGCAAATCTGTGTCCATCCCCAGGTCCTCACTCGGATGCCAGGAACAGCACAGAAAGCCAAAATGTGGCTTTTTACTGACAGGACAATAGTAGTCCATGGCAAACCCCGAGGACAGGAAGGTTCAGGGCATGCAGAAGACATCACTGGGGCTTCTCGCAGGTGGTCACAAACTCCAGCCAAACCTGGGAGAAGCAGCCTTCTCTCCTCCCTGCTGGTGCCAAGCGAGGCACCCCAGGGAATGCCAGAAGCAGGAGAGGAAGGAAGACCTGGAGGAAAACCAACCTCCGGCCTCCTCCTGCCCCCAGGCAAAACAAAACAACAAAAACAGAGAGAAGAAAACCATGTAAGAGGATTCCTGCCTTTGTTTTATTCCTCTCTCCCCCTTGGAGAGCAGAATACTCCCCAAAATAGAGCTGTCAGTCCTGGATCACTGCCTCTCCTGGTAGTTACTCCCTCGCTGCTGTACACAGGCATGGAAAGAAACATCACAGCTATTTATAACAGATGGATTTAGTAATTTTTTTTTATTGGTATGGCTTTTGAGTCTAAGTGATCTGTTTTCTCTTGAAGCTGAGCGCTACACAAAAGACATGCCCAGACACTGTGCCGCAACCACTGTTTATCATTTCTGATTTTAATTTTCTTCCTGTTACCATGAGGAGCTCCCACTGTTTATAAATAAATAGCCATTTATTTAGTCGATGATGTTTCAACTCTACATCCTTTAGGACAGGGCCCAAGAATTTATCTACTAAAAACTAAAAGCAAAAGGAAATTCCAGGCAAAAAGTAAAACAATAGAAAATTTAAATATAGTCAGGTAATAATAATAAAAAAAAATTCAGGCAATGAAATTTTTACTAATATCATCCTGTGGTTTGGAAAGTTGAAGCTTTTCTTTGAGTAAATAATCCATTTCTATTGTCTTTGATTTCTTTATTGAGGAGGTGTGGATGGGATAGATTCTTCTCTGCAGGAAGGGGCTCAGCACTGTGAAAGCCCCAGAAATTATTTCAGTACAAGCTTCTTGGAGGACTCCAGTATCAATTTTCAGGCCTGCATTGTTTCTAAAAGGCTCTAAAACCATTTCTATCAAAATATAATGTGAATGTTTATCTGAGTGTGTGTACAGACACTGTTTATACATCTATACAGCGCGGGCACACACAGGTGTAGGTACCTACACACAAACACAAAGACTTTCCCACCTCAAATTGCTCAAATTTATAAAAAAACCTTCACTAACTTAAGCAATCCGGGAGAGAAATGTTGTTGCAGAAGGGAAAGCTGCCTCCAGGCCACGCTACCCTCCAGTTTTGTTTAAGAACAGCTGAGAAAGCGTTGTAAGGATTGTGGCACGGGGGTGGTAGCCATGGTGGGCACGCGTGTGGGCACTTAAAGGAAGTCATGAGGCTTGAGGCAGGGAAATATCGCTTTCCCCCTTCCACACAGAGCTCTTCTGCTGCCTGAAGACACTTCAAGCCCGGTTTTGCAGCTTGTGTGGGGTGAGGATGAGCTCTGGTGACCTCAGGATGCCCTGCTGGGTTGACACTGTCAGCATGGATATCTGTCACACTCAGGCTGTCCTGCAGTGCCAGGTCTCAGCTGTCACACAGCAGCCACACCAATATGCCAAGTGGCAGAGAGACTGGCTACCAAGCCACCATCTCTCTCCAAGGAAACTACCCAAACCCAGCAGAACCCTTTTTCCACGACGGTATATAAACAGATAAGACATGAAGAACTGAAGCATCTACTACAAGGGAAGCCTAGTTATCGAAAGATAAAAAAATAAATTAAAACATATGGAGAAACAACCACAAATTTTGCAGAATTAAAAAGTTGAGAAAACTGGGGACAGATGGAGGAAGACGGGCAGAAATGAAATCAGCCCAGTGAGCACAGAACGAATGAAAAGCAATTGAAAAGCCAATCGTGCAATTGAGGTCAAAGCACTGTGTCAGTGGGAATGATTTTCTGCCACAGACGGTGGCGTGTCCTTCTACAAAACAATCCAGTGAAAGAGCTGCGGGCTGGTTTGGGTGTAGGAAGAAATGCTTATGTTTCACCTGTAGGTACACATTCCATGGCTCCTGGAGAAGCACAACAATCTCCACTTACAGTCTTTCTTCCAAAGTACTCACAACCACAGAGGGGTATTTACTTGGTTTTGTGATGTAAAGATACTTTTAAGGGGCATGACAAGAGGAAAACAGCAGCTCATATTTCAGCTTTCTTCACGTAGAAATGATTTACCTCTATAACTGGGATGAAAATAGGGATTTGCGTATTTTTAGCAAACATTCCCAAATTGACAACACAGAGTTGGACTGCTGCTGTCTAACAGGAAGGTCTTCTCAACTCAGGTTCATTATATCAGAAATAGAACTGAATTGGGCAGTACTTTGGGATTAGAGATCTGCTTAGCAAAGCTGACCATAAACACCCTGTTCAGCATAGAACAGAGAGCACCTGTCCCATTTTTAAAGCATCTCCGAATCATAACAACTTTATTGCCAGACTTAAATGGCCAAATTTCTGTGCAAGGGGATGTTTTCTGATCTCCTCAGGAAAATTTGTTGGAATTTGTCCTTTTTAAGGGAAGAGGGAAAAGTGGGATGGGATGTGAAAGCAACAGCCTTGGACCTTGCAGTGTTTCCACGAGCACTGAGGGGAAAAAGCATGAACTTTCAAATGGGAGTTGAAATGAGAACCCAGGAGAGCAATGGCCTATAAATACCCTACAGACAAGCTAGATGGCTCAGTAAGCCAGAGCCTTGCCATTGCCTTGTTGACATATTGTCCCCCAGCCTCCTCAGCCGCTGAGAGACAGCACAAGGGTTTCCCTATCTCAGCACATTCGGGGTATTTGAGAGCTCCCAGGTGACAAGTGAGTCTACGCCGTGTCTCTTGCAGCACGTGCCACCTACGTATCATTTTTATATTCCAGGGGGTTTATACCACACTGTTTGAAAAAAAGACGGGACCTCCAGGAGGAAAATTAAAACCATACAAATTTCACCTTTCAGCAAAGGAACTTCAAAGTTCTACTTAGGTGTTTTACCTCACTGTCTCCTGCAACTGCTTCTAAAATTACAATTTCTCAGAGAAACAAAAGTGAGAGAAAAAAAAATCTAATTAATTTTAGATGGCAATTAATTAATTGCTGAAATGGCCTCAAGTTGCGCCAGGGGAGGTTCAGGCTGGATATTAGGAAAAATTTTTTCACTGAAAGGGTTATCAGCCATTGGAATGGGCTGCCCAGGGAGGTGGTTGAGGCACCATCCCTGGAGGTGTTCAAAAGAGGGGTTGATGTAGTGCTGGGAGGTATGGTTTAGTGATGATGCTTCTTGTTTGTTGTGTGGGTGTCTATTTTTGTCAGAGTTAGGTTGACGGTTGGACAAGATGATCTTTAAGGTCCCTTCCAACCTAGAAGATTCTGTGATTCTGTGATTTCTTCTCAGGCCTTTTACTAGGTTTGATGGCTTCAAGTGCCCTTTTAAGCAATGCAAATGGATCAAGACAAACAATAACAGGGGAACAAAACCCCCAGCCCTCAAACCTTTAAATTTCTCTTTCTTGGTCAATCAAGAATGCCACTTTATGTGCCTGCTTTAACCTGTGGGGTTTCACACTGTGTTATGAACATTGCCATATTATAAATTTACATGAATTTACACTTAAGTTGAATTAGTCACGTCTCACTCAATTTGGTGTCCTCCAGACCAAGGTCCTCATTCCAGTCCCTCCGATTTTCATAGAATATTCCCTTTAATTTCTTCTAAACACAGATTTTCAGTTGCAGTAGCCGACTTTGCTGTTCTACTAAATCCTTCACTTCATACCCCTCACTGTCGCAGTAAGGAAGGGATTTTATTTTTTTTGTCAGCAGAAAATACTGACCATCAAGCAAGTTATCACCTTAACTAGCACTGCAGAAATGTTCCTTTCTTCTAGCTGTGTAGCAATGGGATTAAAAACATCAGAAGAGCTGCACTGCATCAGTTCAGAGCTCTAAAAGACTTCCTAGTATTCGCCTTATGATAACAGTCAATCGATGATATGCAGGTGAAATTAAATCAGGGGATGTGTACAGTGGGTACCCTCCCATGAATATTCTCGGTACTGGATGGAGTTCTCCTCCCCTGTCCAGGAATTTACCCCGTTGCTTTCTGAACCCATGGA